CAGTGCTAATTTGCATGTGATTGTTCATGCAACCATAGTGATCCCGGAACTGGAAAGGCGTCTCATACAAAAAATATTGTTTTCGTTCTTTGTTTGTGCCCTTTGTCTTAGTACAGATTGCACACACTGCGGTAAAGCCATCGTTCCGAATAATGATTTGATCAACAAATAACAGGAAGTAGGCAAAATCTCATCTTCCCTAAAGATTGTATGTTGCTCACTCATTTTGGAGTCTGGTAATGATAAATCTCCAGGAAGTGCTTTCTGGCCTTTGAGAATTTGCCGGTTTCACTTGCTAGGCAAAGCCGCCACCGAGACTTCGAAATACGTTCAGATTTTTTGGACACTGCACTCATTGGTTTGGTGCTCTTAGCCTGGTAATATTTCCTACACTTCTGTATTAGTTTTGCAAACATTTTGTTTGATGTTGATCCCGGACTAGTGCATTTTCCGCCTAAGGAATAAAGAATTCAAGGAAAACATCTGTCACATCTAGATGCTCGCCGTCTGACCTGGGTGACTGCATGCTGCTATGCTGCTTGATGGGCGTTCTAACAAGAGACAAGAAGAAAGAAATTGTTCTGGGGTCAGTTAGTTCCTTGAACGCCGGTTCACTAGTTTGAGAAAACACAGGAGGTCTACGGTGTCGAACATTGATGCATCAAACGGGAAGTTTAACCGATCGGTAGGTACGCTGGCTCAAATTTCTGTTGTTATTGGAGAACTAGTCACCATGAAGTTTTCAAAATCAATAAATCTGTGATACATTGCCCTGAATTTCACACCGACAGGGTACTATGATTAGCTTTGATGATCTGTGTCGTAATATACACTGTGATTTATCGTACAAGTTAACTGAACAAATGCCTCAAAAGCTAATCTGAGTTTGCCCGATGGGACGTGCATTTGAAACTTCTGGGTACAATATCGTACAACATAACTCCTAGGTGATCCGCTGTGTGTTTCATAAGGACGATGTAAGTTGAAGGATCCAACCGACCCAAGTGGATTTTGTACTAAAGTTTTTCCGGACTTCCTAACTTAGAATCTGGAGTTTCCTTGTTGCGGGCAGCTTTTTGCTGAAACCAAGCCCACACGAACTGCAGCATTGCATTGCAGTATTGATGAGAATCATGTTCACACGCAGATTCGAGCATCTTCCTGTTTCTTTGTTTTATTCGAATGCTTAACTTAAGCACCTAATTAAGAATGAATTTCCGTGAGACTCTAAATTCGAATTACCGACGTTTTAACCCGGCCAAATTATGTGTCGGCCGGTCTTTCCTCTCGAAAGTCTTCGGAGTCAAATGGTGCTTTGCAGACCGGAAAATGACCGTTCAAGTTCATATCCCCGCTACCGCGACCGGACTTGATATAGCACACTCCGACAGCGTACGCAGTCGCCACCGCATTCAACTAATATCACAGTTGCATAACGACAATTGATCGTTTAACTTCGAACTAGGCATTTAATTGCACATTCTGACCTCTGGTGAAAATACCTGCTGGTATGTATTTACGAGTAATCCACCAACGATTTGTTGGAGATGGCAGTTAATGGCTAAACAACGGCTTGGTAAACCTGCTAATCGATGGGCATGTTTTAATTTTGGTCACTTGAAAATCAATGTATTCATTTTTATTACAAACATCATCCCCGACAAACGGGTTTCAAAGAAATTCCGGCACTGTTTGCCGTTAATGATTTTTGCGTTGATGTCTCTGGAGTGACTCAAGATGTGAATATGTCTTGGCACAAATAACACACACGAAAGGCCGCTGTTTTGTGTGAACAACGGAGTGGCGCTCCAAGCTACGAGTGCTTTCAAACCAACGTTTACAAAGAGCACATTCGTGCTTCATTACTTTTTCCATCGGTACTATGTCGCGATGTAGGAATTTGTGTTTCCGTAGAGCCCCACGGTTTGGAAAACCCTCAGAACATGTTGAACACACGAGGTTCCTTCCGCACGAATGGCATTGCATATGACGTTTTAAATCACATGGATATTTGGACGCTCTCATCACAACGTACCTTTGTCGGAATGAGGCTCTCGGGCGCGTGATCATATCTTTGATGCCGTTGTAGACTAGAAAGATGCTTGAATACCTTAGCACAGAGCTCACACATAAATGATGCCGAAATGTCGTGAGTGGATGCATGCATTTTCAAGTTCTAGAGTGACGAATACTTCCTTCCACAAGTTACGCAAACATGCCCTGTGTTTTGCGTTTTTCTGCCGGTTTGTTTTCGTGATTCAGGCTGCACCGCGTCACCTTGATTCATAAGTGAAACGTTCGTCTCCTTGGATTCCGGTGTTGTCGGCCTGGTTTCCATAGGGAGATCTTTTGGTGCGTCGAATGGAGAGCCCTCACCATCTACAGTTAGAGCAACACAGTAAAATCCAGATCGGCAATTCATACATTTCACGAGTTTGTGAGCGATTAGTGTTTAAACTAACAGGGGGTTAGTTTATTAAATATTTTTCAACAACGATGAACCAAGGTATTTTCCTACAGTTACCTCAAACGTTGGCACAGCCATCCGATTGGCGCTCGAGTGGTTATTCTCAGCACACGTGATGAGTCAGTTCATGAGGACCTTGAAGAATCATAACAAAAGTACTGTACTTTTTCACTAGTTAACATTTTATGAAACCTACAAGTATGTGCTCAAATGTGCTCTGCAAATAAACTGACGCTATAATTTAGTACTCTACTCCGTTGGGAACAATTGTTCAAATATTGTCTTCTAAATAATTGTGGTGTGATTTTATCCCATTGTTTTAAGGGAACAGTGAGTTGAAGTGTATCCTAAATAGCA